CAGACAGAAATGACAATGTTTGTGAAGATCAAACAATTTCCAAGAGAGCATGACCCATTTAAAGACGTGAAAAGTTTAATTTGGCAACATAACCTAGTGATTTGGTCTTTGAATTCTTTCTCTACCATTTTCCAGCCATGTGTATTTGGGCAATTATCTTAACCTTTTTATAATTATTTTGAATTTTATGCTTGTCAAATATAAATGAAGCATTCAAGATTCTTAATTATTGACAGATAATAAACACTAATTGTTTACCTTTATATTGATAAAATGGCTAAAACAACAAACTGGGAGCAGATAAAGATGAATATATCAAGATAAGTAAAAGATCAAGTGGTACCAGGATCTTATAGACCATTTTAATGGAAAACAATGATTTGTGTGGACATAGGGAAGCCACTGGACAAGTCTTCATTAGGAAAATGATGTGTTCTGGTTGATATTTTAGAAGCATCACTCTAGTTTTCGAGGGAAGTCTGAACGATTTGTAGTCAAGACAGAAGGAAGACCATTTTGGATATTATTATAATAATCTGGCCAAGAGATGGTGGTGATTTACATAGGTTAGTGGTAGTGAAGATAGAGAGAAGGGATAGATAGAAATTTAGAAGATATAAACAGTATTAAGGAACCCTGGTAACATAGTGGATTGTGCATTGGGATGCTAACTGCAAGATTACTAGTTTTAATTCCCAGCTGCTTCATGGGAGAAATATAAGGGTTTCTGTTCCCATAAAGATTTATAACCTCAAAAATCATATACAAGGTTGCCATGAGTCATAACCGACTCAACCGTATACACTGTTGCATCTGACAACCACCTATACTCCGCGGCCCACGCTGAGAAATTAAACCCAAGGTTAGTAGTTCAAGCTCATCAGTCACTCCTTGGGAACTCTATACAGGGTCGCTATGGGTCAGAATCTACTCGACGGTACTTAACAACAACATCAAGGGGCAATGGAAGATTAGGAAAAAAGGAAGACACAAGACACAAAAGAATTAAGTAAAGTTGGAACCAGGTGGGACACAGCACTCTGATGGAGATTCTATGACTCAGACCTAGATTCAGCATGTTTATTATATACACATATCAAAGGAGAGTGCTGGGGACAGGGAAAAGAATGCAAAAAACATATGGTATTATTGATGCAAGCAGTAAATGGGACTTTATTAGAAGAATGTAACTTGTGGCTGCTAAGAAGACAGAGATAGGGCAGCTAGATGTTTTTGCAGACTAAACTGAAGGCCGTGGCTGCTTACAAGGAAAGACTTTGCAAATTCCTTGTTCCCTGAGGCAGGCTTTGCAACGTTCCTCAGTGGGCAGCTTGACCTGAGAGCAGCCCAACTTTCTGGACCACGACTGTTCAGTTGCAATCCTTTGATTAAACTTCCCCCAAGTCTAAGACCTTCAGTTTAGTTGCTCCCAACATCTCTCCATATTATTTTTTTAATGAAGTCGAATGACTGGTCAGTTGGAGCTGGAAGAGCTAGTTTCAGAGGACTCGACAGAAGACTGTAAAAATAAGCAACAAGATTAACATCAAGACAGTAACACCAGTAAGGAGCCATGCCTCATGGCACAGTATGTTAAAAGGATTAAATCCATTGAGTAAATCCAACACAGTCTTGGCTACATCCTTGTGGACCAGGACCTTATTTCTACTGTTTTGTACAGCCATAATCTGTTTATAAATTTCTCTTAAATCCAGGCATATTTACATGATGCCAAATACCTTGAAGATGACTAGAAACTTCATTCCACTCCCAATCAAAGGTGTTATATGGCAATGCTGTTACATAGATGTGAGAGAATGAGGCATGATATCAAATATCTTGTTTGTATTTAAGGGCCTCGACCTGATTTTCTAGGCCAATTACAATGGCCTGTAGTGCATTTAATTTTATTTCCAAGTTGGAATCTATATGCTCTTGGATAGATAAAACATGGGAGGGTGTTTTTTTGCCAAATTATTTACAAAATGAACATTTTGAATACTTTGAGTTAAGGCCAATGATGAAATTACAGTAGTAACTATTATTATGATTAGGGATACTAATCCCAGAATAATTTGTCCAATGGCTTGACGAGGCCGACTTAATTGATTTTTTATCTCTTCCAGGACTTGTATTCCTGGGCTACTATACCAAGGATCCATTATGTTTGTTGGGACCATTATAAATGCAGGTCGATACAATATAATATAATATATTATAAATGCACGTCCTGTTATATTTATATAATATAATATAATATAATATAATATAAATGCACGTCCTGATTCTGGTTAAAAAAAGAAAGACAAGAGGTGAGGTTACATGAAACACAATTTACAATATAATGTCCCTCTGCATATGAGATATTAACTGAGCCTGTTACCAGTATATAGGGGGCCTGAACACAGGCATAAATGTAATGAGTGGTTTGTCCCACCCCCCTCCCCCCAAGATCTTTTAGGCTTGCATTGGTTTGATTAATTACTCCGAGGTCAGCCATCAATTTTCATAAATCTCTTTGCAGATGCCTGTTGAAAGTTACAATTACAGAGGCTGATAACTTTCCTCTCCCACTATTCTTGCTTCTCTCAAAGCCTGTTGAACTGGAGACAAAGCAGGTAGAGTATAAGAAGTCCTCTCCCTTGCTTTTGGCATTAAATCTGTAAGCACTTTCGGTGTCATGCTGACAGCAGTAGCCTCAGCCATAGAAAGCACAGCTAATTGAGGTTATCTCTGATTCTTTCTCTCAATCTGAATTGCCGCCTTCTGCTACTGGATCCCCCTGTTCCTTTAAGGAACAGTCCTGGGGACAAATGGAGGCTTCCTCTTCTTTCAGCTCCTCCTTCTGTAGAGCTGATGGCTCAGGTGAATGTAGCCCCTGATGTACCTGCACTGTCTGCCGCATATGCTCTGTGAGCTAGGCTGGGAAGTAGAGGCTACTCTCTCAGAGTCAGTCTTGGGGTCTAAGCTTTCACACACAAGCGCCCAAAGAGAAAATGCAAAAAGTGATATCTTATCAGGCCCTTAAGTAGTATACCAAGCATACAACTGCTTCCCGACCTTGTCCCAGATATCCATGTTTACAGTCCCTTTCTCTGGGAACCAGGGACAGGTCTCCTGTACAAAATCTAAAAAGTGAACAAGTTGAACATCTTTAATAGAAGTTCCTCTGGCCCAAAATAGGGCTTTAAGCATATCTATAAACAACTGGTGGTCCTTTCACCCTGAATGTCCCATGTTTTACACCTGGCTCTAACTCACTCCATACCTTATCTTAATGCGCGCACCTCAGAGTGTCTCCTCATCTCTGGCTTAGAAGTTTCCCTGTATTCGAGCCCCACATTTGGCCACCAACTGTCGTGTCCAACAATCAGCTATACTCCACAACCCGCACTGAGAAATTAAGCCTGAGATGAAAATGTGGCATCAGGATTGGAGGAAGAGTCATTAACAACCTGAGATATGCAGATGCTACAAAGTGAAGAGGACTTGCTTGCTGAAAGTGAAGAGGACTTAAAACATTTACTGATGAAGATCAAAGAGCACAGCCTTCCATATGGATTACATCTCAATGTCAAGAAAACAAAAATCCTCACCACTGGACCAATAAACAACACTCTTTTTAACAGAGAAAAATTGAAGTTGTCAAGGACTTCATTCTTCTTGGATCAACTATCAACACTCATAGAAGCAGCAGTCAAGAAATCAAACAATGTATTGCATTAGGCAAATCTGCTGCACAAGACCTTTTTAAAGTGAAGAGCAAAGATGTCAGGTTGAGGACTAATGTGCACCTGACCCAAGCCATGGTATTTTCAATAACCTCATGTGTATGCGAAAGCTGGACAGTGAATAAAGAAGAACGTAGAAGAATTGATGCTTTTGTGTTACGGCATTGGAGGAGAATATTGAAAGTGCCCTGGGTTGCCAAAAGAACAAATAGATCCGTTTTGGAAGAAGTGCAGCCAGAGTGTTCCTTGGAGACCAAGATGGCCAAACTTCATCTCTCATACTTTAGACATATTGTCAGGAGGGACCAGTCACTGGAGAAGGATCTCATGTTTGGTAAGGTGGAAGGTCAGAGAAAAAGAGGAAGATCCCCAACAAGATGGCTTGGCCAAGTGTCAGCATCGATGGACTCAAGTGTGGCAACAGTAGTGAGGTTGGCCCAGGATTGGGCAGTGTTTTGTTCTGCTGTGCATAAGGTTGCTATGAGTCGGTACTGACTCGATGTCACCTCACAAGAACAACAACAACAGAGGCAATGGGAGATTAGAAATAAAGGAAGACACAGACACAAAAGAATTAAGTAAAGTTGGGACCAGGTGGGACACAGCACTCTGATGGAGATACTGTGACTTAGACCTAAATTCAGCACGCTTATTATATACACATATCAAAGGAGAGTGCCGGAGACAGGGAAAAGAATGCAAAAGCACATCTGGTGTTGTTAATGCAAGCAGTAAACGTGACTTTATAAGAAGAATGTAACTTGTGGTTGCTATGGAGATAGAGATAGGGCAGCTAGATGTTTTTGCAGACTAAACTGAAGGCCATGGCTGCTTACAAGGAAAGACTGCAAATTCCTTGTTCCCTGAGGCTTTTCTTATTCTCTGGGGGCAGCCTGACCTGGGAGCAGCCTGATTTTCTGGACCACAACTGTTCAGTTGCAATCCTTTGGTTAAACTAACCCCAAGTCTGAGATCTTCGGTTTAGTTGCTCCCAACAGTACACCACCACTGTAAGCAGTATATGGTGCTTGGTTATATGTGGGAAGATAAGAGGGAAAGAAGGTTCTGACTATGATAATTGACTAAATCCTGATTTTGTATACTGATGAAGGAGAGCAAGATTGCAGATGGTTTGGGGAATATTTCATAAGTGGAACAGTTCAGCATATTAGCTGTCAAGATTGTGAGATGGAATGGCTAACATGGAATAGAGGGAACTCTTGGAAATGATCTTTCATATATTTCCCTACTTCAGAATACCTGTTGGAGATGTGGTGGTTTCAGCAAGGTCTCAGTTTCCTCCCATCAGCCCTTGTAATCTGGACTGCCGCTGCTTTCATCTTTTCATACATTACTGCAATAACACTCCATCATGTTGACCCTGCTTTGCCTTATATTAGGTGAGTGAAATGTATTGTTTTTTTTACAATAATAAATCCTTATTGTATGTCTTGTTCATATTTGTTCATATTTTAAGATGTTGCTGTTAGGTGTCGTGAAGTTGGTTCCAACTCATAGTGACCCCATGCACAACAGAAGGAAACATTGCCTGACCCTACACCATCCTCACAATTGTTGCTATTTTTGAGTCCATTGTTGCTGCCACTGTATCTGTTTCGTTGGGGGTCTTCCTCTTTTTGGCTGATTCTCCACTTTTCCCAGCACAATGTCCTCTGCCAGGGACTGGTCCCTCCTGATAACATGTCTGAAGTATGAGATGAAGTCTTGCCATGCTCCCTTCTCCAGGAGTGTTTGTCCTGGCATTTCATAGTACTTTCAGTATTCTTCACCAACACCATAACTCAAATGCATCCATTTTTCTAAGATCTTTTTCATTCATTGTCCAAGTTTCACATGAATGTGAAGTGATTTTAAAATAGAAGCCAATATTTAATGTCAGTGTTTTAAATTCAAATTTTACATTGGCATTATAAAAATTAAGGGAATTTAAAAGGGTACTTTTAAACTTAGCTCTTGCTATATGATAGAGAAAGGAACTCTGGTACCATCGTAGTTATGAGTCTGCCTGCTAACCTCAGGTCAGTTTTTGAAACTACTAGTGGTTCCATGGGAGAAAGATGAGGTTTTCTGCTCCTGTAAAGATTTACAGCCTCAGAAACCCTATGCAGGGTCGCTATAAGTTGGAACCAACTCTATGGCACACAACCACCACCACCACCACCACTACCATATGATAGAGGCGGAGTCCTGGTTTGGCACTGTGGGATAATGCACTGGACCACCAGGTCAGTTTAAACTACAGGGTCATTGGTTCAAGTTCACCAGCTGCTCCTCAGAAACACTATAAAGTGTCACTGTGAGTTGGAATCAACTCTAGGGCACTTAACAATAACATATGACAGAGAAATGTGGAGATAAAGGGATTCAGTTAGTGAATTGTGACACTTTAGTACCATGTCTTCCAAAGAAATCTTTGAGGTTATCTCAGAAGATAGAATAGGAATTATTCTCCCCTGAAAATTAAAAATGCTGCAAACAATTCTAATAATATTAAAGAGAGATTGATAATAATAAACATTTATTCATCTATTTACTATGTACCAGGTAATGTTTTTAGTATTCTTTATGTTTTCAATAATTGAACCTTTACAACAACTTTTTTCTTTCTCTCTTTTATTTATTTATTCATTTTTATAAGTTTTTATTGTGAACTAAGTGATAGTTTATGTGGGAGAGCATCAGCTTTACATTTATTCTATTGTATTTTGTTTCATTGCAATGATTTCAGATTTCAGTTCCTTCCATGCATCATCATTCAACAGCATTTCCTTCCAATCCCTCTGTTGGTTTTTTGGGGTTTTTTTGGATGTACACTGAAGCCCTCAGGAATATATAACCATTCAAACAACCAAAGGGTATAGCCTTCACACCAGCCCCCCACCTCCCCCAGCCACCAGCATACAGCCCCTCTCCCTCCTTGAGTCAAGAGTCCCCAGCTGCTCTGTCTCTCCCTGTCATTGTCTTTGCCTCCATCTCTGGTGTTGCTGCTTCTCTGGATAGGGTCCCATACTCCACTCCTCTCCCTTGATGGTCCCAGGGTCCTCCGTTCCTTGCTACAAGATCAACCACTCCCCTCCTTTGTTACAAAACATCTGCCTTTACATTTACAACATTCACAGTCAGTCCTGATAACAATTATTCACTATTTGAACCACAAGAGTCTTATCCCTTCTTTCACCAGTCCCATCTAGACAGGTTGGAAACCACTCAGTGGAGATTCTATCTTCCCCTGCACCCTCTGAAACTAAGCTCCCTCTTGAAAACTTATAAGCCAGTTACTTCATGCCTTTGTAGCCTCCCCCCTCCCCCATATTTTGGGTAGCCAATGTCTTAAGTTGCCAATCCCTGTCAACCCTGTGAACTGAATGGTTCTTGCTGTAAAGATTTGTTCCCTCTTTTAAGCTACTACTTTTATAAGTATAGGTTAAGTTCATCAAATTGTAGCAGATTATAATCTTTTCCTCTTCTTTCTTCCTCTAGTTGAGTTCTGATTATCCAGCCATTGAAGCTAGGTCAAATGAGTACTGTCTGCAAATATGGGGTTTCTAGGGAGCGGTTAGTGGTTTTGAACCACTGGCCTTGTGGTTTAAACTGACCTTGCATCCCAGTGCTTATCCTACAGTGCCACACCAGGACTCCTTTGAAACATTCTCTTTCAGTGTAGCTACCAAATGAAATATGTACATATGTGTTTTTAAATGTATAGAAGTATATGTTTATGTATTATATATAAATGTCAATCTACTTATATGTACATATAAATAATATGCTTTGTTTGTTATTGTAGTTTCATGTATTCATTATTTTTGCTTACCAAAAAATAACCTTTCCAGAGAGAAAATATATAGTAAACATCTAAGGGAGTCCTGATGTGGCGCTGTGGGTTAATGCGCCAGACTGCAAAGCCATTTGAACTGCAAGGTCGGCAGTTCAAGCTCGCCAGCTTCTCCTCGGAAACCCTATACAGGGTTGCTATGGGCCGGAACCAACTCTACAGCACTTAACAACAACAACGACAAAGGATAATAAATCAGAAGATTAATTTATCTTATTTATGATGTCAGGAAAAGGTCTGGGCATTACCATGTACATTTGATTCCACTGGTGTGGTACTGTGGGTTAATGCACTGGACTGCAGTGTTGGTTTGAGCCACAATATCAGTGGTATAAGTTCACCAGCTGCTCCTCAGAAACCTTATAAGGGACACTAGGGGTTGGAACTTACTCAACAGTATTTAACAACAACAACAAACAGATGCCATGCAGGTACAAAAAAGATAGAGCAGTGAAAGAACCTGTGCTCTTTATGGGATGTTTAAAGAGCAGATAAACACATCTGCCTAACTGAAAGTAAGTCAGTATAACATCATCCTTAACATACATTACTACCAATAGCTATTATGTGGAAAAGAAATAATCTTCAATGACGTATGAAGAAAGTGAAGTAAGCAAATGTTTGTAAGCACAAATTGTCTTGTTCTCTTCATGAAATGACATGAGTTGAACTCTTGGACTGATAACAGACAAAAGCTTTGAAATAATTCCTTTTACTTCTTATTCCTTAGAAGTGTATCTTATGTGAGAAATCCACATTCTTTTGTTTCTTTCAGTGACACTGGTACAATAGCTCCAGAAAGATGCTTATTTGGGGCAATGTTAAATGTCTCCACAGTTTTATGTAAGTAATGAGAATTATTTTAATTAATAAGACTAGCTAGATTACTGTTTCTTTTTTTGTGTGTGTTACCTCTTTTACTTTTTAGTTAGACTTGAGGAAATGTCAATGCTGAATTATTAATCATTGATACACTACTTGAAAAAAAAATTTTTTTCTAGAAATTATAAATTGTGGAAAAGTACTGTTCATCCAAGCAGAATTTGTAAAGTGCAGGCAGATCGTGTTTCATTGTACATCTCTTTACTGCACTTCACAGATACTTTTTACGAATGGAAGGTTTGTGTCAAGCAAGTCTCTTGGCACCATTTTCTACCAGCATGTGCTCACTTCATGTCTCTTTGTGAGAATTTTGGTGATTCTCCCAATATTTCAAATTTGTGGTGCTGTAGGATAAGCACTGAACTGCTAACCACAAAGTTGATGTTTCAAACGCACCAGCTGTTCCTTGGAAACCCTATACAGAGTAACTGTGAGTTGGAGCCAACTTTATGGCACGTAACAACAAACATTGCTCACTTAATAGACTACAGTATTGTGTAAACATAACTTTCATATGTACTGGGAAACCAAAAAAATTTATGTGCCTTGCTTTATTGCAATGTTTACTTTATTACAGAGGTCTGGAACTGAAGCTGCAATGTCTCCAAGGTGTGCCTTTATAAGCAAATATTCCTTGGAGCCTTAAGTGGCCTTCTTAAGCAAATAGTAGAGGGAAAAGAAAAGATCAGTAGATGCAACTGACCACAATTAACCCCCACTAAATTCCTTTTAGGATAAACAATTTAGAAGTTTGGGAATAGAGACGGAAGCATGTTTTGATTTCTGAGTGATATGCTAGCTCCAAAGGAATGGAGTTCCTATGATATTACTTGTCATTCCTGTTCAGTATTTATATTTTGAACAAAATTTTGATTGATGTTTTATTAAATTATTTTCCATTACTTACTTGCTTTATTCAGAAGTAGGTGTCAGGAAAACGATTACAGAAAATTTATATTATAACTCAACTTTTCATGAACATGTCTACAACTTAAAGCAGATCTTTATTCCTCCAGCTGATTCCAATTCATAGGGACAGTCTAGGACAGAGTAGAATGAGTGTTCCGTAGGGCTCCAAAGACTATAAATCTACAGGAGTAGACAGAGTAGTTGATGGGTTTGAACGGTTAACCTTGTGGTGAGAAGGCCAGTGCTTAAAGTGAGGTTTTTTTTATGTATAATTGGGAACTATGTCTGATTGAGTCATGTTATAGTCAGTTTACTATAAAAAGAATGATATGAAAGTGAAATAATCTTTTGATGTGTATATACATTGCCTATGACCATTTTATTAATATTCCAGAATTACCTAGTTACATTTGACTTTGATGTTAATAATATACAGGCATACCTCAGAGATACTGTTGGTTCAGCTCCAGACCACTGCAGTAAAGTGAATATTGCAATAAAGCGAGAGTCCCAGAGTCTTTGGCTTCCCAGTGCATATAAAAGTTATGTGTACATTATACATGTATCTGCAAAGTACAATAAAACAAAGTGCAATAATACAAGGTATGACTCTAAAAATGTTTTGTGTTTTATATAGCACATATCATTAGAAATTTTTAGAAATATCAAAATTGTTTCTTAAATGTTAACTTAAATATTTGTTCAAATGATTCAAATGACTTGCTGAGTCATGCAGTGAATCAGTAGGTGCTTAATACTTACTGGCGGTTGGTTGTATGCCACCAAGTCAGTTCTGACTCATAGCATCCTTGTATAGGGTTTCTGAAGCTGTAAATCTTTAAGGGAGCAGAAAGCCTCATCTGTCTCCCTGGGACCGAGTGGCAGATTTGAACTGCTGACCTTGAAGTTAGCAGTCCAGCTCATAATCCAGCACTACCAGTGCTCTTAAAAGGTTCTTTAAAATCTACAGCTGTTTGTCTTCTCTGAAATTAATTTTTAAAGGAAAATCTGTGTTTTTTGAGAATTGTGACCTTTGTGAACCCTTTCTTAGCAACTTTCTCCTTGGTTTTTTGCATTATCTCTTCCAGGCATGGCTACCATTTATGTTCGTTATAAGCAAGTTCATGCTCTGAATCCAGAAGAGAATCGTATCATCAGATTAAACAAGGCTGGCTTTATAGTTGGATTACTGAGTTGCTTAGGACTTTCTATTGTGGCAAATTTCCAGGTTTGTTTCATTTCAGCATAGATATTTTCTTGAAGTATATAAATATATATGTTAAAAAAGAAAATTGGAAACACTCGGTTCGATGCTACTGTTGTTTCCCGTAACAGAATAGAATCCATTCCCATTCAGTTATTTGACCCTTTTCGAAAATAACATTTGTAATTAGAAAAAAACATTCCTAATAATACTTTAATATTCTGAATAATGATAAATTTTTATCATTTTATTCTAAAATCCATAGGACAATTATTAGACTCTTTATTGCTATGTAGTTGGGAATTACCACAAGACCAAATAGGCAGAATTGAAATAAATTATTTTATAAATGATATGGTTATGATTTAAACATTTCTGTTTACTTTTTCTCTTTTTAAAAAAATATGTTTTTAATTTATTGTGTACTCCTTTACCCATTTGACATTAGTTGTTAGATGTTACCACTGTTTGCCTGCATTTCTAGGTGCCCAGCCCCATATAGGAGGTAGTAAAAGGGAAATGTGGAACTCCTCCTTTTTCTCATGTAATTCTTGACATTAAAGTAACAATCAGCCTTCACCAAGTACAGTTAAACCTGTGAAAGCCATATCTGCATTAGGCAGAAGCTTATCAGAGAAGGAAGTCTCGAACCTTTTCCACAAAATCGAAAGATTGAAAAGTAGTAAGACTGCATCCTTTCAAAGGGGGATACAACCACTGAGGTACAGAAAATCAAGACAGCCCTGCCAAGGTCCAGCTTTCACAGGATTCACTGTATCTGCAAGCTCAACACATTCTGTTAACATTCTTTCAGATGAATTTCTGGCATTTGGGCCTGCATCCTGGCATATGGTGCTTTTTGATTATTCTCTATAGAGCCTTTATATAAGACTTTTCTTGTCTTCTCAATGACTTTTTGTTTTCTTCATGTATGATGTTCTTGATGTCATCCCACAACTCTTCTGGTCTTCGGTCTTTAATGTTTAATGTATCAAATCTGTTCTTCAGATGATCTCTAAATTCAGGTGGGATATATTCAAGGTCATATTTTGGCTCTATTGGACTTGTTTTCATTCTCTTCAGCTTCAGTTTGAGTTCGCATATGAGTACTTTATGGTCTATTCCACAGTCTGCACCTGGCCTTGTTTTCACTGATGATATGGAGCTTTTCCATCTTCAGTTAATATTCAGCCATTTCAAGAGGTAGCATATGATCAAGAGCCAATGATAATTATGGAGGAAGTACAAGGTGCGTTGAAGGAATTGGCAAAGAACAAGGCACCAGGAATTGATGGAATAAAAATTGAAATCTTTTAAGAAAGTGAGTCAGCACAGGGGGCACTCACTCATCTCTG